GTGGCATCTGGAAAGCCTCTCCTGACATCCGCTTCCGCCCGCTTCAGCACGGTAGGAGACTCCGTCTGCCGGTAGAAGATGGATCCTTTTCCTTTGCTGGTGTCAATGTCAGCCAGGAAGGGGGCGATGACAGGGAAGTCGGTGGGGAAGCCGTCATCCACGTACTGCTTCTCCATGGGAAGATCCTGAGTTGAGATGATTCCATTGGTGGCCACCTGGAACGAGACATTTAAAGACACAAAACAAAATGAAAACTGTCCATGGTGATCTTATTTTTAGAGTAAAATCATACAGTGATATGGTCATGTTTGACCACTTTGGAATTTAAATTAAAAAATGACTTTAAAATGTTAAACTTTTACATAAAAAAATAACTTTCGTCACAGTTTATTTGGAAACACTTTATTTTACAGTGTGTACATATTACATAATGTTACATGCACTTACCATAGTGATAACAGCAAATGATGCATAATTACAAGTAACTAACCCTAAACCAAACCCTAACCGTAACTCTATAGTCAGTACATGTAGTTAATTAATCTTACTCAGTACTTAAATATATAATTACACTGTAACAAGGACACCTTAAAATAAAGTGTAACCCTTTATTTTAAGGTGGCGTAGTTACATTGTAATTACTCAAGTAAGTACTGAGTAATATTAATTAACTACATGTACTTATTATAGAGTTACGGTTAGGGTTTGGTTTAGGGTTGGTTACTTGTAATTATGCATAATTTGCTGTTATTACTATAGTAAGTACATGTAGTAACGTGTAACTATGTCACCTTAAAATAAAGTGTTACCAAAGCTTTCTAAAAACATTTAAATTCTAAAAAAAAAAAAAAACTGAGAAGAAATTACAAAAATTATTGTGATAAATACAGACAGAAATAAAAATTTCATATAACATAATGATGTAATTGTTTTACAGTCTACAGGGACATGCTCATCTCAAAATAACACATTTTTTTAATACAGCATAATCCTTTATTTATTATTATTATTTGAAGATTTTTTTTTAAATCTTAGACTTTGCTTAAAGTCTTTATACATCCAACTTAATCCAGAGATTGATCTAAATCAAATCCTAATCTATTTATATTTATTATATACTTTTGTTACATAGTTACTAAGTCGGTACTAAGTAAGACATTACAGTACGAGATACGCTATTTTTTTAGGCAAGACAACAACAACAACAACAACAACAACAACACATTACCAGACGCTTGATGTACTCACATATAAGATAGTGAAGGACGCCTCATAGAAGTACATGGGTTTGGTTAGCGTGATCACTTCAGAAGTCTCATCGTCCCCCTCTTGCAGAGTTACATCGCCGTAAAACATCCCATATGGATAGATGTCATGTCTGTGGATAGCTGTGACATGGTGGACTGTCCAGAAAAGTTGTAAAAAGAACAGCGCTGTTTTGCCCCACGTCATTTTAAAGAACAGCTAGTACACATGCAGCCTGTATACATGCGGCACTCTCAGAGTCAATGAGTTTGAGTGCGCGATGATGATGTTGGGCATGAAGGTGGGAAGATTGTGATCCAGGCGACAGGCACTCCACGGGACGGGAGGGTTTGGGGGAGGTCACGCGGACGTTGATTGGCTAACGGGTGACACTCGGGACACCGTCTGCATTTCATTACATTTAAAAAAGAGACGGATTTTTAAATGTATGGTCTTCTTAAATAATTCTTTATTTTATATTATAAAAATATATATTAATTAAAATGTTATAATATTAGCATCACAAAATAAAAAAAATAGCTATTTCTAAATTTGAATGCATCATATAATTTTTTTTTATTTTATAGTGAAATTATATAATAATGTATTTTTTTTCTGTTAAATATCCAGCTTTTTCATAATCCCTCATGTGTTTTCCCCTCTTTTACCCTATGCTTTTACCTGATAGTTTAATGATAAGTGCGTTAAGACTGCTTTAATCCAATTATTCAATCTGAAAGGGTCGTTAATCAATTTAAGGAGTATTTACATCAATAACAAATGGATGAGTGTCACTAATCTAATCACTGCTGAGGCAAGACTGCAGTATATGACAGTGACGTTCTGTTACTATCATGTTTGTATTTACATTGTGAATATTACATTATTACAGAATTGAATATATTCTGTATATTGCACATATTGTGTAAATTATTTATCATGTGTGACAACAGTGCTGTATTTGTATTTCATATTTTCTTCTATTGTGCTTGTGCTGTTCATTCATCTTGAGAACTGATCATGTCTTCTTTGTTTTTGATGCCATCTAGTGGCCATTCCTATTGAAATACTAGACACTATTGGAGAGTGGGAACACATCAAAGCTGGAAATGGGACAAAAAAAAATAAGAAATAATGTAAGAAATACCTTTTGCAGGACTAACCATAAAGGTCTAGAACAAAGTAATGTTTTTGACTTGTGCCATGGCTTCTCTTGTCTTATAACAACTTTGTCTGTAAACAAAATGTGTTTACAATGCATGAAAATGAAATGTAACGTGACTTTTTGCTGCTTAGAGAAATGATCACTCATTACATGGACTGTAGAGCAGCACAGGTCAGAGTTTTGTAAGTCACAACAAAGTTAAATTAAACCATGCCATGTTGATTTATGCTCTTATATTTGTTTTATCTGTGTCTTCAAACCAATAAAAAGGTTTGCATTTAGTTTCTGGTCGTATACAAGGACACAAACTTGATTATCTATTAATAGATGTTTAGTGTCCAACAGGGCAAAAGGCCCCTCAGGGTGAAAGGCCACAGCATTTTCCTAAACACCTGTTTGTTACTAAATACTGAGAACCCGTCCTGTTCCACGTGTCACTGCAAGAACTGACAAAAGATTTGAGGTCAAATTTGAATTTGATTTGATACACTACCAGGATGATTTTTCATTGATGAACAGAAAGTTCAAAAGAACAGCATCTATTTGAAATAGAAATCTTTAGTAACATTATAAATGTCTTTACTTTTCACTTTTGATACATTTAATTAATCCTTGCTGAATAAAAGTATTGATTTCTTAAAAAAAAAAATATATATATATATATATATATATATATATATATATATATATAAAATACCCCAAACATTTGAAAGGTTGAGATATGGATTTTTTTTTTATATTACAGATTTATGTAGATCATAAAAAAAAAAATCATAAAACATTCACATATAATGTCTACAACTGTCGAATACATGAAAGTTAAATTAATTAAATTATATTCTCGTTTATTTTAGTACCATCAAAAAAAATCCCTAGTGATAATGTTTAGCCTTACCTTATTTAGCCTGTAGGGGGCGCCAGATAAAAACAAAACACACTAAACCTAACGCTGAATTGGTTTGTAATCACATATAAAACGATTTTAGATTTTTTTTGTGTTGCAAATAAACTTGTTATCACACCTCAACAACACAAATTCATTTATTCTTTGTTTTACATTACTTTGGCTCATTTATTCACCCTATAACAATCATAAATTGCACAATAAGGTTTCCTTTAGGGCAGGCCTCTATTATTTTGATAGTTAGTGACGTGTGTCTTTTGTTGGCTAAGTGAAATTTGATCGTCTCCTGATGTAGCTACGTGAGATGTTCCTCATTTTCACTGGATCTGATCCAGACGTTTCAAGTTTCAGGACAGTTTGCTTTGTTCATAACCGTGTTTGGTTTGTCAACATGAGCATAACCCGAGCTATTTGTACTGTAACACATGCAGTGTGTGTGCACCATCAAGCGTTATGGTGGCTAGACATGAGGAGAGCTCTGCGAATCCAACCATCATTGTATTATAAGCCTTACACAAATGCAAGCTCCACATATAAGGTAAAAAAAGGGTTACACTTTATTTTAAGGTGTCCTTGTTACAGTGTAATTAGGCTAGTTACATGTACATAATTGGGGTTAGGGTTAGTAGCATGTAACTATAGGCCTATGCATAATTGACTGTTATTACTATATTAACTACATGTAAAATGTGTAACAGGGACACTGTAAAATAAAGTGTTACCAAAAAAGTTTTGTTTCTTGGATGGAAATATGCCTACATAGCTAATAATATGAACACAACATTTTAAAACACAGCAGTATACATAAAATTGCAATTGGAAATGTGTAAATGCTGTTTTATTATAACATAAAACATACAGGAAGCCCTAAAGTAAAAAGAGTACAAAAATTCCCTTTGGCAAGACAATAAAACACGTAGCAGCACGTTGCGTGAGCTCAGGTCTGTACAGCCCAACCTGAAAGCCATGGAAAGTTCTGTAACGTCTCTCAGCATTTAGAAACGTTTGGTTATCTAGAGAAAGTAGATTTAATGATCTGAAAATAAAGAAATGAGGACTGCAAAAAAAGATTATTGTTGGAAAAGAAGCCAATTGAGCTGTTTCTGGTCTAAAGATCAATGTTTCTGGGCCGTTTTCCAAGGTTTTGAACAGGTCCATTCTAGAATACGATCTAAAGAGCACTTAGCACTTTGGATGACAAATGTTTTTATTTGTTTATTTGATTTGATTTATTGTCATAGATCGTTAACAAATCTGTCAAATTTATACAATTTACACCAGTTATTTTTTAAGGATCCTTCTTGTCATGTAGTTTTTGGTGGTATTAGCCTATATTTCGTTGTAATTTCAAGGAGAGTGGCCATTATTTAATCAGTGGTAATTTTGACAATAATTCTTTCCTAAAGGCAAATTTAGAAGTTTAAATCGCATGTAACCCTTAACAAGAGACCATTTCAAGTCCATTTGAAAAGGTTTTAGAATAGCTATTTGATTAGTATTATTTGTACAGCACAGGGCTCTTTGGGACCCCAAACTGCCAGGAAGTAGAGTCTCAACGGCACATGAGGTTTTAAGGAAGCTTGAATTTCTCAGTCCTGTGTCTGGACCAGTGTGTGTGTGTGTGTGTGTGTGTGTTGAGGGTGGAGTCAAGACAGCAACGTTTATTCACCAGTCAACAGCTCATTCAGCAGAGGAACTCATGGCTCACACTACATTCTCCCACCACTGCCTCTTTGCCTTCGAGAGCTTGGGGCAGACAAAGAGGCAAGTCTGTCTGACTCCAGAGGCATTGAAATACTGCTATGGTCCTGCAATGTGGTGAACTCCATGCTTTTACCATGGTGAACATTGAACAACCTTTAAGCTTTTTAGATTTTTAAATTGAATGCAGTTTTTCTGATGTAGAGTTGGGTTCTCTCAAACATGCCAACCTGAACTAATTCAAGGAAGCTTTTCACTTGAAGAACTTTGAGGTTCCTAGAAGATGTACAACAGGAGCGTTGGCATATCCACTGCAGGAATGGGCACAGAGAGCATAACCTGTCGTTACAGTCGGAGCGTGGAGGAGAACGGGGGCCCGGCCATCAGCGCGATGATGTTCGCAGCTGGAGTGCTCGGGAATCTGGTTGCGTTGGTTCTCCTGGAGTTCCGCAGGAGGAAAGAGAAGAACCGGCAGCGGCAATCTCTGTTCCATTTGTTGGTGACCACGTTGGTCATTACGGATCTAATGGGCACCTGCTTGATCAGTCCCCTTGTGCAGATTGCATACTTAACTAATACCACACTATTTGGGATGACCAATTCTTCTGCGGTGACCGAGTCTTCTGCGGTGTGTCAGTATTTTGGATTTGCAATGACTTTCTTCAGTCTGGCGACACATTCCATCCTCCTCGCCATGGCACTGGAGAGGAGCATCTCCATCGGGTACCCGTACCACTATGGGAGGCACGTCACCAAGCGCTGTGGATACATCACCATCCCTTGCATTTATCTAGTCTGCTTTCTATTCTGCATGATGCCGTTTGCAGGCTTCGGGGAATATGTGCAATACTGTCCAGGGACGTGGTGTTTTATTGACATGAATCCAGAGAAGCCTAAGCACCAGGCTTATGCCAACGTTTATGCCACCGTGTTGCTGCTTATTGTTGTAGTCATAGTGGCATGCAACTGTTTTGTAGTTTATCATCTGGTGTTGATGTACCGGAGGCGCAAAATGAACCGAGGGTCGGTGCAGACCCGGAGTAAAAGAGACAGGAGGCACTTCTCATGGGCAGAGGAGGTGGAACATCTCATTCTTCTGGTCTTCATGACAGTCATATTTGTCATTTGTTCCCTGCCATTAATGGTAAGACTTACAGTATCTTATTAGGATGAAGGAAAGTGATTTGTTGTAAATTCACTAAAATATTTCCTTCAGGCATCAATAAACTACTTTATAAAGAGAGAAATTTTTAAATACATCTTATTGTTAAAATGTATGATGTAAAAAAGAGAGTAAAACAGATTTTTTCATATTTCACTCTACTTAATATTAATATTAATGAAATTGCAAACCTTCTTACTTATCCCTAGAGAAAATATATTCATATTAACAACAATATCAGAAGTTGCAAAAGATAAAAGATGAATAAGAAACAATATTAATAGATATAAAAAGATGGTATAATGCAAACGGTCTTGCTTGTGTACTTCAGAGACATTAATTTGCAGAAAAATTACACTATCATGATTTTTTATTTATATTTTTGAAGTTGAAGAAGTATTTTTTTCTTGTCGTAATTTATAATGTAGCTGTCATTTATATTCAATGTTTCTTTCACTTGATTTGAGGTTATAGAAAAGAGACGTTATTGCTTAACTGTCTTTTGCAGATTAAGTCTGGTTAGATTTGGACAAAGTCATTTAAAAGCAAACAACAGGTTTCATGGACGGATGCTTCCATATTATAGTTCAGGTTACTGGGCATGGGCCATGGGGATGTTATGGTTTCTAAGTAACCACATATTTTCTTGCTGATTTATTGACAGAAAGTAATGGTTATAAAAATGAAAAAAGGTTTTGACCTGTCTTGGAGAAGCCGGTATTTATGAAAAGAAATGCCACCCAAACATAAGTGCAGGAAAGCATTTAGCATTTTGAAAAGGACGGCTTACTGAGATCTTGATCAAACCCAAGATCATGATATGGAGCTACTTTCAAAATCATCCCACCTCCATCAGAGCTTCTGTAACTGACAGTATGAGATTTAGATAGCTGGAGCTTATTTTTTCTTGGAGTGTATTATTAATTCTTGTGAAAAGCGACTGTGGTTGTAACACACAAAGACTCTAACAGACCAAGTCTAGGTGAAACCAGACTCAAATCCAGCTCTTCAGTCACCTGGAACAATGCCAGCCATGTCAATTATTTAGAAATTATATTAACAGTAGGTGAAATTACATTAAAGCATTACAGTTTAGTATTTGTGGCTATTCACTGGTTTGAATTGAGTTTATTAAGGACAACTGAATTTCAGCATAAATTTCAAGTAATATAATTTCAGATCCCAGCAACCCACTGACTAAATTTGTGGGACGGGCAACTAGGTAAATGTAATGATGGAAGACAGTAGTCTGGTGAAAGATCATGCATAATGGAAAGGAAGGAATATTTTACTTGATCAAATAGAAATGTTTAGTAAAACATGAAATGCATATTTGCACTGATAAACTTGTGATTCTTTTCAAACGTCACCACCAAATAAGGAATTTTGAAAAGATTTTCAAACAGGTTTCAGCATCAGTGTTTACACTTTTGGGGGGGAAATAACATATGAATGGCATGGTTTCTGCATATTAAAACGGGATAGAAGAAAGTATTTGTATCATACAAAGAGATTACGCACTTTAGTTTTAAAACTCCAGTTTGATGAAATGCAGTGCATGAGAATTTTGTAATAGCCTACTTTCATCATACTTCATGGTCTGTGAAAAAATAATTCTCATGACCAAACAATCCTATTAGGAAAAATATAACTTTTACAGTATGTTTATCATCGCTTTTGTGTGTGATAAAGGAAAAACAAAACAAAGGCTTATGTAACAAAAAACTATGAGCGGAGGTAAGCAAACCTAGGAAAATAATATGAATCATTTCTGCTCTGTTTAGGAGAATGAGCTGTGAAATATAGTTTTTACAGTGATCTTGTGAGTCATTGATGGGAACTTCAGAATGAAGACATATAGAGAGTGGATTATATTTTTACATAACTGCTTTCATGGGAGACAGAGTTTTGACAGACTTGTATTTTTGAGTTGTTTTATGCACACACAAAATCTTATGAGACCACTTAAGTGTTTGCTGAAATCTCAGTCAAAGCAAAAGCTCCTTAAATTGGAATCAATGGGGAAAATGACTAAGTCTCTTGCCTTTTAAATTCCTATCTGTAATATTAGAGTAATAACATGTTAACGTGCACGCTGATGAAAGTAAAGCGATTTAAGTGCATTATCTTGTGCGTGAGATGAAACACATCCACGTTGTCGTCGTCATTAATATTGATCAATGAGCTGGTGTCTTATAGAAGCTTGTCAACAATGATAATGGTTTCTCCGGATTAGATATGATTATGTGGGATGTGGAAAAGTAACATGAATTATTAAAACCATAAAATGAAAAACTATACTTTGGACCAGACAGTGTATACAGTGACTCCGCATATCTCACCACTATGCTTTCATTACAACTATTGCTAGCAGCTGTTACATGCTAAATTTACATGGTGATATGTAACCAACCTGTGATTAAACTGAGTGTATTTTTTTAATTAGATAGATAGATAGATAGATAGATAGATAGATAGATAGATAGATAGATAGATAGATAGATAGATAGATAGATAGATAGATAGATAGATAGATAGATAGATAGATAGATAGATAGATACAGATTCTATCTATATTTATCTAAAAGGCCTAAAAACCAACAATGCATTAATATTGACCAGAAATAAGATTAGCAATTGCTGATAATCTTCTGAAAAATTAATATCAAAGTTTTTGGTTCTTGACATTTGATACAGTATTTTTGAAAATAGATATGCATCTACATGCTTCTCTGGTTTCTTTGGTAAGTCTCACAGTGTTGTGCTCGGAATAAATAATCGTTTCCTATGACATCATCATCTGTGGTTAATGTTCAGTAACATCTCTGAATTGCCTTCTTCTCTCTAGATCCGTGTGTACATCAACTCCATGGAAAAGCCTGTAAAAAACAAGACTGATCTAATAGCTCTGCGGTTCCTCTCGGTCAACTCCATCATTGACCCGTGGGTGTTCATCATCCTCAGCCCCTCGGTTCTGCGCTTCCTCTGGGGGGGGCTGTGTAAGACCACCTTAATGCCCTCCAGGAACTCCCTGTTCAAAACGTCCATTTCCAAGAACCCAGGAGGCCAAATCGAGCTGTACCAACCCAGTTCCACCTGTGTGGAGACCACACACCTCAACAAGTCTGTTCAGATGATCTGAAGTCATGAGGACAATGACGATGGACTGGATGATTCCTTCTAAAAATCTATATGATTTGGAAGGCAAGGCTTATCGAGGTTTAAAGTTCTAGTATTTCAAAATTTCAGGATCTTATCAGTTGACAACTTAAACAAAGCGAGGCCTTAAAATTATTAAGTAAATAAACTTCATGTGTACTTGAAAAAATTAAGTTATGTGAACTTGACAATTCCACATAACTGATTTTTTTTTATTACGTATGAAGTTTATTAACTTAATCACTTTAAGGCAACGGTTTTCCTCACTTTTTTAAGTCAACTGATCACTTTTTACAATCTATCTATCTATCTATCTATCTATCTATCTATCTATCTATCTATCTATCTATCTGTCTATCTCTCTATCTGTCTATCTATCTGTCTGTCTATCTATCTATCTCTCTGTCTGTTTATCTATCTATCTATCTATCTATCTATCTATCTATCTATCTATCTATCTATCTATCTATCTCTCTATCTGTCTATCTATCTATCTATCTATCTCTCTGTCTGTATCTATCTATCTATCTATCTATCTATCTATCTATCTATCTATCTGTCTATCTCTCTATCTGTCTATCTGTCTGTCTATCTATCTATCTATCTATCTATCTATCTATCTATCTATCTATCTATCTATCTATCTATCTATCTCTCTGTCTGTTTATCTATCTATCTCTCTGTCTGTTTATCTATCTATCTCTCTATCTATCTATCTATCTCTCTATCTGTCTATCTATCTATCTATCTATCTATCTATCTATCTATCTATCTATCTATCTATCTATCTATCTATCTCTCTGTCTGTTTATCTATCTATCTCTCTATCTATCTATCTATCTCTCTATCTATCTATCTATCTATCTATCTATCTATCTATCTATCTATCTATCTATCTATCTATCTATCCATCTATCTAAGAAGATCTTAACTGATTTGTCTTCCATTCCAAAGGCGATCTGGTTTGTTTGTTGATCTAAAAACAGATTCAGAAACTGAGTGAGATAAAGCCAAATGTGAGGTCAAAGGGATACGTTATGTTCCCTCAACCACTACAGTAATTGTTTTGAGACCAGGAGTCCTGTTACAGTAACTGCGATCACCTGAAGAACTTGAAAAATGTTTAAGGCATGTTCAGTGGGAGTTCAATCATGGAGGATTTTAAATTTTTGCCGGGGACATTCTGTGATTGGACCGTTTAAAAACAGAGAAACTGTCCTGAAGCTATCATTCCATGATCATTACTCGTCCACAATTTTTCCAGGCTTGTGCTTTCCAGGTTAAAGGTAAAAACGGCACGTTCTCCTATGCGAAGTCTGTCCCTTTGGACACGTTTGTTGTCAAGTGACTCATGTGACGTAGTTTGAATTTCAAGTAATTCTTCAAATATTGCATAAAGCTGTCAGCTTGTATTTATAATCTCAACATATTTATTGTGCTTTTACTTATGTTAATACAACTACTGACATATATGTGTCTTCATATATATAGGCTGACAGTCATTTCTTTCATGTGAGAGATTCTGATTGTGCATAATTGTACATAATTATAGTATAATAAGCATGACAACATGCGTGGTGCCGTTCAGTACAGACATGTTCTTTGTGTCAAGATACTTGTTTTTCTGTGCCTTTGAAGGTCTTGAATGTACTTGTGAAATAATGTGTTATCTACGTATGCATGTAATTTATGTTGAAGTGTTGTGTGAAATTGTCTGTTAAATGTAACATATTCTAAGCAAGTCACAGCCATTGAGATGCACTTCAAAACGGAGCAAATCAATAAGAGATTGATAAATTAAGAGATGCATTTTGAATTTGAATAAGTATTACATGTCATTCTTAACAAGAAAAGTAGTTTGTCAAAACAAAATATTGTTCTGTGTGGTTTGAAAGTTAAAAAAAAAGGTTTAAAAAGCCTTTACGTTTGAAGGTTTATAGGCCGTGGAGAGAGAAAACAATATTCATATTCCAACTCATGAATAAAAAGGGAGACAATTTTTCAATTCTGAATTTTGCCCAAACCTGCTCCGGACTCGTGTCTCTTGACAAAGAAATAAATAAAGCATGCATACCTTCCCTGAGGCCATAAATAAGTATGCGAACACTCAAATGCTTGTTGAGCGCATTGCTTGCACATGGTCCTGTTGTACATATTTAATGTTCTTGCATTAAAGTGCTGTGATAAACCATGTGACTCAAGGGGGTGATAGCCTTGTCATGTGTTTTATTCCAAGTTACTAGTTCCTCTGCATGTTTAACAAACTTCAACTAACTTGCTTAGCAAATCTTTTCTTCAAACTGCTGCTCTGCCATGACAGTAACTGACCTGAACCGACCATAGAAAAAAAAACATTGCAATGGTATATTTCTGAATGCAATTATGTGTGAAAATATGTGAAGCTAAAGTTTGCGTTTTAAGCCTTGGGCCGCCTACTTAGAGTACTCTCTGACAGACAGGAATGTCTAAAGCCTTGTTTATACTCGACGCGTCCGCACGAGCGCGAGTCTCCGCTGACTGCGCGCGGACCTCTCCATATGGACGAGGCGTTTATACTTGACGCGCTCGCCGTTGTGCTATTCTGTGAAACGACAGGGGGCGACTCGGAGTAATTCTCCTCTAAACCACCAGGAATCAGCAGTGAAGAAGTAGTTTGCCATTTATTAGTAGTTTATTAATTTCTGATTCATATAAAAAGAGTAATAAATGCAGTAGGTTTATTGTACTTTCACTGCATGTAAACTAGTAAACAACTGAAGCCTTATTGAAGAGTGTTTAAACCTTAATTTCATCAGCAGGGCTTACTTCTGCTATTGTAGGCTTATTTTGTAAATATAAGCAGTTACTTTAGAGTGCAAACTGGGTGCTTAATGTAAATGTGTTCCTATTCAAAAAATGAGAGGCTTTTATGGTCGCCCATCAATGCAAATGTCTCTGTGTATAGAAGGATCATAAACATGCTGATACAGACGCACCAGTTCGGCCAGATTCGGCTCGAAGTCGTTCATCTTCGGATGCGGCGCCGCGCGCGATGTTACAAAAAGTGCCGTGCACACCGCCAGGCGAAATGGGGTCTTGCGCACCCAACGCGCACGACCGCCCACACCGCAATGACGTCATTTTTGCCGCGCGCACTTCGCGCTCTTGCGGACGCGTCGAGTATAAACAAGGCTTAACGTGTTTGAGGGTGTGAAAGGAGCCATGCCAGTTTGAAATCAACTCCACTCCACAGTCTCCACTCCACATTTCCAGATGCCTACGTCAGGTTCTGCTCGCATAATGCAGAGTTTCCTAAACCAGGGGCTGCAGGACGTGAAAAGCTAACAATTCATTAAATCATAAAAATGTCATTTTTAATACAATTTATAAGTTGTAACAATTTTTAAATCAAAATAATGAAAACACTTACTAAAAAGACTAAATATTTTATTTGTTTGTCTAACAACATGCAAACAACATGCCTGACAACATGCAAATGTACTGTTAAATTATTGAAATTAACTTCAAATCTCAAGGCGTATTCAAGTAAATATTTTAGGTCAAAGGGGTTCAGCTGACAAAAAAGTTTGGGAATCTCTGGCATCATAGGGGCCGATCCTGTGGGTGCTCCAGGGCTCAAGCAACCATGATATTCTCCAATCAAAAAATCGATTGAAATTCAGGAACCTCTCCGATTGGTGATAGCACATCTGATCTCGGAAGGTGGTAATAAACACACAGTTCTACTTTTACCATAGCGTTAGGACATAACAACCTGACATAAAAGCTTTCTGCGTGATAAATTGATTTTAAATGCAAAATGATCTGGTATATTAGCTAGAGAGTGACTCACAACAACACTCATTTATGTGAATGAAGATGTTTATGTTTGGTTGGTATTACGTAGACACGAATTCAATGCAAATTCTTCGCAAGACACGAATACATTTTGTGTAATTAATTCATCAAGCACACCATCGCATGGAGATAAAGATTGTACTCTTTGAAAAAAACTAACACCAAGTATTGAGTGATTTCATGTTAAAATATTTTAAGGGGCAAGATCAGCATCTATGCCAGGCATAGCGGACAACTACTGATAAACTCATGAAACACATGAAACAGAAGTTGTGATAGACTTTTCGTCCCTTTTGTGACGTATGTCCGAGTGAACGGCATCTCGAACAATAAAAAATGTAGGGCTGCTCTTGATTTTGTTCATTGGGAATTGATTGGACGGTTGTTGTTTGCTATTGCTGTGATGTCATGTGAGTGACGGATTGCTCCGCCCTCGCACCAGTGAACACATCATCAGAGAAGAGAAGAGATGTCGCTGTAATAGGGAGGGGAAGTTATTTTTATTAAAGATTACGAGGGCACATAAATAATAAAAAATAATGATGAGCATGTCATCATGATTGTCAGCAAATCATTTATAATAAATACTGAATTCAAAAAAATTATGTATTTAAAATCAATGGATTCAAAGCATTTTTTGAGTAGAGGAAATAGGCTACACTATGAATTAATTCTGCAAACTGACTGATTCTGTAGGCAGAAAAAGTGCAACATTGGTAATACTTTTGACTTCTCAGAATAATTACAGTTTTTCTCAATCGCTTTGGCACATTTTTGGCAAAACTAAAATGTGTAATATGCCTAATTTACATAAACTAGATTGCAGTCATAATCAGTTCACATGTGCATGGCTCGAATGAAAACACACATCTGATAAGTGGAACAGAACCCCCCATAAGTCTATAAATCGTTCGGCAGATATGAGGATATCGGAGATCAACCTCACAAAAATAATTCTGTTTATTTTGTCTGCAAGATCATTGCAGTTACTAAAAGTTGAAATCACTTAGCTTCAGCCTGGTTGTGGGAACTTGAGTTTTTCACAAGACAAATATCAAAATATGTGAATATTTAGATAACAGAGCGGGGTCTGATGCTCGTGACACGGTGCACCCAGGGAGTGTGGGAAAAAGGACACAGTCAGATCTCGATCGCTTCAGCTCAAGCAAACCTTCTCTC